GCCACACCTTTCGCACGGTTTCAAAGTCCTCGACCTCGTGCTCCGATCGAAAGTATCTTTCGAGATCTCATCGGAACTGTCTCCGTTTCGAGCGACTTTAAGAACGATCACCTAGTCAGGAAATACCTAGACGTGCCCCAAGAGATCGCTTATCATAAAAAGAGAAATAGAGAGAGAGAAAGAGAAAAAAGAGAAAGAAAGAAAGTGAAATACACGATTCTCTTGCTAAAACGATTACACTCGACTTCTCATTTGTAGAAGTAATTATGACAATGAACTAACACAAAAAAACAAATTAAAACAAAATTTATTCTATGATTAACTGTATAATATAAATAATATAATTATTATATTTATAATTTATCTATTTGATTAAAATAGAATAAAATTTATCACCCATTCTTGTCTAAAAAAGGTGGAGAATAAATACAAAGATTAACTTACATATAAAAATATAATACCACTTGGGATAACAATTTTAAAAAAGATACTTTTATTATAATAAATAAAATATTATAAAACGATACGAAAAGAGAGAAAGAGGGAGATAGAACCTACAGTCAATTAACAATTGAACAAGATGCATTTTTTTTATGGAAAGATGACTAGGGAGAGATGTGACATACTTTGATTGTGAGAATGTTGAAAAAACTTTAATAATTGTTAATTAATCGATACAAGTATCTATTGTTGTTTAAAAGCTCAAAATTATTGATCTAAGTACTTTTCTCTTCGAGATTCACTTTCAGACTGACACGTTGTCCTCTATGCAAATTCTTTCATTCAATGTTGTATATATGATTTTCTATAAAATAACTACATTAGAATGCAAAAAATATTAAAATTAGAACGTTATAATCTTAAATTGTCTTTATTAAAAATATTATAATAGTTCCACACATGCACGACATTCGGAAAGTCATCTAAGAAACATTCAATAAAAGAATTTGTATAGAGGACAACGTGCCAGTCTGAAGGTGAATTTCGAAGAGGACGGTACATAGATTCCTTATTTAGGGGTATTACTTATTTATTAAATGAATACTGTATCTTTAATAGGTAAAAGAAGGCTGAAAAGTTCTAAACATTATATTATATTGTTTTTACTTAATATTAATATTACAAAAATTATTTTTTCAATCTTTTTGCTTATGCTAATCAAATATCCAATATTTCCAAATGAACTTCTAATTGTTCAATTTCTACAAAATGTATTCCGTGAAATATAAAAAGTAATAGTAATAACATAGAAGGAAAATTTTCACTTCGTGAAGGTAACTAAAAAGAAATGATTATGTCCGTGAAGAATCATTAATCAATAGTAGGATATTAAACGTGTATATATTCATGTATATGTAGGTATTGGGAGAAAGAAACCCGTCCTTAAAATAATGTCAGTCTACATACACCTTTTACTACTTATTCTCATTCTATCTCTTTTACCATCCTTTTATTTTACTTGGGTGCGGAGAACCTCTAATTTTCAAAGTGATCATTCAGAATCGGGCATCTTCCATTCATTAAGGATTCACCAGGAGGCACGGATTAAGGACCCTCCTGGACGAGAACACCTGGTATCTTCGTACAGGAGGCAAGTCCGCAACAACATTGAAAAAAAATACAAAATAAGAAGATATAGAGAGAAAGAAAGAAAGAGAGAAGCGAAATAATGGAAGGTATGGAAGAACGGAAGAGGAAAGAGAGGAGAAAGGGGGGAAGAAGGGACTCACTGCAAAAGCGGGCGTTGCCTTATTCTTTACAGACATATCGTAAACGTAGATAAGAGGGTATATCTACCTACTAATGCAAGTAATGCTAATGTAAACCCGCTCGAATGCTTTCTCTCTCTTTCTCTTTTTCTCGTTCTCTAGTTGTTCGAGTATCTTGATAATGTTAAAGGATTTTAATCGAGATTATTCCGATTAGAATATCATGAAGGTTTATTATTCACCTGTATAATAACAGTTTAATATTGACGTTAAAGAGAACCGTTAAGAATCGTACCAAGTAATTCGAATAAACGTGTTTCTTCAAACGATTCTATTTCGTTCATACGAAATTCAATTTCAATTTAAAAATTTTCTAAATTAATATAATTAAATAAATAATCAAATGAGATTTAAAGAGTGATTGATATTTTCTTACTACAAAATTTGTATTCTATTTCTATGGTTCGTTAAATTTTCCCTTTCCTACTACGAAAAAGATGATGATGATGATGATGAAGAAGAAGAAGAAGAAGAAGAAGAATAAGAATAAGAAGAATAAGAATAAGAATAAGAATAAGAATAAGAATAAGAATAAGAAGAAGAAGAAGAAGAAGAAGAAGAAGAAGATGAAGGAGAGAAATTAAAATTAAAAAAAAGAGTTGCAAGAGACGATTCGATTAATCGCAAAGCGAGTAGCTCGAGGTAGTTACGCGCGAGTAGTACAAGCAATCCTGTTTACTGCGGGCGCTCAAAGGTACTTGGACCCCACAAGATGCAGCATGATCGACGACGAATAGGATTGGGTCGTGGATCCTTGACAATGATGTTGAATCGCGCGGTCGTTGCGGTCTTCCTTGCTACGCGTTTCCCGTCGTTGCTTATAACAAGAACTGCCTTACACTCGTATGGCCAGTCTTTTAAGATAGAATGAGACAGACATAAAAGAAGAAAGAAAAAGAAAGAGAAAGAGAGAGAGAGAGAGAGAAATAGAAAGAGAGATTTTATTCACCGGATATTGTGATTTGAATATTTTGTAGGAATCTAAATTCTATTTAAAATAACTTTTAGTTTTTATTATTTTCTTATCATTTAATGTTTAGGTTATTCATATATATCAAATATTTTAAATATAATATAAATATAAATAATTAAATAAAATATAATATATAAATTAATATTATAATAACTAGTACTGTATGTATGTATTATTTTTAAGTATTGTAATATAAATGAAGTATAGTGCATTAGTATTGGTAGATAATATGTAGAATTTATAGAATATATTATATAAAAGTGACGGAAAATAGAGTGAATATATTATCAAAGATATCTTAATTACTTTTTAATTACATTCAAGTTATAATTATACTTCGGGTCATTAATAACATCCGCTGCACATATTACACATAGGTAAATATATGTACACAAGCGTTATGTTCTCGTGCAGGAAACATTATAATGTTAAAGGGACGTATAAAACACTTGTCTTTAAATACTGTCTGCATGCGTTCAGAATTTTTATTCGTATTAATTAAGACTTTGGCCACGTTTCTTTTTTATTCTATACTAAATCGTCAACTAAGATTTTTCAATCGAAGCACGTACAGTCAAAGTTTACACGAATCGGTAGAAGCAAATAATTTGGGGTAAAGAATTGAGGGGGAAGAATTACGTTTCTAAATTCAACCCTTTGGTACGTTAACCATATCGATTATTATCGATCGATCTCGAAACTGAGAGAAAGAAAAATTCTGAAAGCGATCAAGCGTGTTATGTTTATACCACAGAACCGACGATTACGATTCACCGAGCAAATTCTTTCTCGCGAAAGGTTGAGCCTGCAAAAAAGTCCCCCGTCCTATTATCACGTTCCACCTAAAGGCTCGTGAGAAATGTTTACTTCGAACTTTGAAATCGCCTTTGCAAGCATTCGCCAGATTATCCAATCCTTTTCCCTTTCCTTCTTTTTTCATCAGGATTGGTAAATACTTACGTATTGTATGGTACGTGATTGAAATGAATAAACTAACGAAACGATATATATATATATATATGTGTATTGTGCAAATAAAGAATTTTTAAACAAAACGATATATGTGCGTGGCCTGCAAGAAAAATGTTACAAAGAACCATAGATTCTCAGAATGGATATTGTACAAATAGATGAACGATGAGCACGTGGCAAGAATGTACATATGTGTGTGTGTCTGTGTGTGTATGTATGAATGAAAGCAGGTGGATAAATGGTTTTTGTTTATGAAGAGAAAAGAATTAGTCCGAATTAAAAAATCAAAGAGTATGCACATCTAACAATAAAACAAGGGGAATTTAATCACATTACCTGTCACGTGTACTGTTTCCGGTACATGTTGAAATTCATTTTTATAATTATAATTAAATATTATTTATTATTAATACCTCAGTTTTTGGTACACATGGCATGATCAAATTCAGCTTAGAAAGGAACGTGTTAATATTTTATCTGATAAAAACTAAACAACATTATCAGTTGAATATAAATTACTTAAAATCAATCTTTCCAATGTTATTTTTATTACTTGCATAACTTTAAAATATAAATTAAAAAGTTATAAAAATCAATCAAATACAAATATATATATATAAAATAAAAACTGCACGAATTCTATAATAAAGATGAAAAAATATAAGGTATCGCGTTCCATCGATGTGCATTTGCTGGTGGTCCACCTGTCACCTTAACACCTGCCTTCTTCCCAAGGTATTTAACGACAACATTAATGACCTTTTATGGAGTGTTAGGTGTGCGACATGTGGGTGGCAGAAGACGAGGACAAAAAAAGAAAGCCTTTGCACTATCTCTCTCTTAAGATTTCTTCGATATATATACTGAATACAAACAAGCGATGTAAACCCGTTCTTGCAACGATAAAAACCTCCGATGCGATAATTAATTTGAAGTCTTCGACGATGTTAACAAAGAAGGTTATGAGAATTCGGCCAATAACTTCCTTTTCTTCATCCTCAAGTATAATTCATTAAAAACATTAAATTAGACGAACCTTGTATACTGCATTCGAATTCAAGGAGAAGAAAAGGGGGAGGGGAGAAAAAAAAATCTTCATCATGAAATTTGCTTCCCACTTGTTAATTAATTTCTTAACTAATTAAAACGAACGTCTATAAAATATTCATTATATTCTTGATAAATACATTTTGTTCTTCTTTTTAAATAAGAATCCGAACAAATATGTATTTTAAACTCGACAATAAATCAAATAATAATTTATATTATCTACGTTTCATTTGCAGACAATAGCTTGCTCTCGAGCGAAGTCCTGCAGGATTACGATCCGCAATTCATGGTGGGCTGTTACTTTCCTGCAGAATATCAGGGTGAATTCGTGACGCAGGTGAACGTTAAGGACAGCACCATTGGCACAACGAACGAGCCTATTCAATACTCGACCATTAACATTACTTACAATGCCATCCCGGTCTGGGGTTATTGTCGTAGAAGAGTCGGTGAAAATGTTCTCTTAATAGACAGGTAAATATTGACCAATATTTTATTTTTTTTTTTTATTTTTTTTTTTTTTTGATCAACAAACAAACGAACACACTTTGTATCTTTGTATCATTATTTACTCATACGTTATTATTTCTTCTTCTTCTTCTTCCTTCTATAATAAATTTGGTTGTACTTTTTCGTAATATCAATTTTGTCTCGCGAAATTTACTACGTAAAATTTGAGTTGCATAAAAAGGTTAAGGTTGAGAACGGTTTAGTAGTAGAGAAGACGGTCGATACATCTTCGGAGAATGCCTTCGTCTCGTCTGCGATTCGTCTGGGACAAAAATAGTCTCGAGCATTGCCAGACGCGCGAATTGCATATCACGACACGAGGTTAATTCCGTAGAAACGATTCGACTTGTGAGCAAAAGAACAATGGCGTTTCGCCAGATCCATCTATTTCCCCTACTTCCACCTTACCCTTCTCTTGTCTCCCTTTTCTCTCCTTGTCACCCTTCATTGCATCTTGAGAATCAATGCAAGATCCCCTTTTAATACCAATGCCAACTCCTTCTCTCGGAGGAGAGGATTTTGAGATGTCGAGTAGTAGTATGCTGTTGAATTTATTCGTTTTTGACACTTGAAACGTGAAAATCGTCGATTTAGCATACTATCATAAATTTTCTAACCAGTTGTTGAAATCCGATCGTAAGAAAGGACACGAAAACTTTAATCCGAACGAAGATCTATCAGATTTTCTCTAGAGATACCGTTTTATTTATTTATTGAGAGAGAGAGAATTTTGTTTTTATTTTTTATTCTGTTCAAATTATTTTCGAAATAAGTTTTGAAGTCTGAAAAAGAGAAAGGGTAAATGTGGGTGTAAAAACGTAGGTATACATTGACGTAAATGAGAATAAACCCATCACCCACCTTTGTACACACCCATAATACTAGATGATTCACGTTGAATCCTTAACGAGCTAAACGTTGACTTTGTTCGGAGACGAGATATGGCACAATTATTGTTAGGTGGTCTAGAAAAAAATTATTGTAGTCTAATACAATTATAATAGGAGTACTTATAATTTTTTATCTTGTAAAATAAATGATCGATATAT